AATTTCCATGAGGAACTGCCCCATTTCCTCCAGCCATTGTTGGACTGCCCAACAGCTCTTCAGTTCCTCAAAACCTCTCATCTGCTGCTCTGAGCCATGGGGGCTGTGGCCTCAGAGCAGGGCAGGGTCCTGTGCCCTCAGGGCTGCAGCTGGGATGGGCTGTGAAAGGGCTGGTGGGTGCCCAAGGATGCCAGACCTGCCTTGCTGTCACCCATTGCCTGAGACACCCTGGGGGCACTTTGGCCACCCTCGGCAGCCTTGAGACACCAGCTCTCAACTTGGGTCTCCCTTGGCCTCAGGCTTCTCCTTTACCCCCTGGGAATGAGCTGGATGCCCTCAAAATCTACCCTGGTTTGGGCAAATGCAGGTGGAGCAGCCGGTCCCTGGAGAGACCAATGCCACAGCTTTGGTCTGGGCAGTAAGGAAGGAGAGGAGATCCCCAGCTGCTCCATTGCTGGACCCCTTTGTGGGCCAGTGTCCTGGGAACCATGCTCTGCTCCATCCCCACCTCTTGGGACAGAGGGAGAGGTGTGGAGGCAAAGGTGGCTGCCGTCCCACAGAGCTTGTCTACAGAGCCAAGCACGAGAGCAGCTCAGCCTGCTCCAGCCTCAGCCATATTTTGATCCAAGACACTTGAAATGGGGCTCTGGGGGCCCTAGAAATTACACCCCGAGTTACCCCTTCAATAGGACTCTAACACCAGGGATGGTGCTGATGCCTCTCCATGCCAAAACTGTCCCAAGGCTGCTGAAATTCCCTGCAGCAGCAGAGCCCCAGGGCCCAGCAAGAGGTGACACCAGCCCCATGTCACCAAACTTGGACATGAGGAGAGCAAACTGCCAAGCCAGGAGCAACAGCAAGAGGGCCCCGATTTTCCCCTCTGGTGCAGGCAGGTGGACTCAGTGCTGGACCACAGCCAAGCAAAAGGGACCCAGGAAATACTGTCCACACACCCCTCCTCCCCCCCTAGGCCTCCTGGTGCCTTGGGACTGGGGGGAAGGGGCACAGAACCCAGATGTGGAGATAAAATTCCAGATGTGGATCTTTCCACTCCAGGGAGGCAGTGAAGACCATGAAGCAGCTCCTCTTGGTCAGGATTTTTGGGGACAGAAACCAGCAAAGCCAAACCTCTGTCACCATCCTGAACATCACTGTGCAACACTGGGAAGAGCCCAGGAAGCAGTAGCAGTGAGCTCCGGGCACAGCCCCACCCCAAGTGCCCCAAGCCTCAGATCTAGCAAGGGACAGGGACGTGCATCCCCCCCAGCCTGCCCTACACCCCCTCCCCAGCTGTCGCCCCAAAAAACCAGGGTGATATCGAGGTGCTGGAGCCAGGACAGAGGAGGCAACAAAGCTGGTGAAGGTCCTAGAGAATAAATCTTGTGAAGAACACTGGAAGGAGCTGGGAATGTTTAGTCTGAGGAGGAGGAGGCTGAGGGAAGACCTCATCAGTCTCTACAACTACCTGAACAGACATTGTAGAGAGGTTGGTGCTGGTCTCTTCTCACAGGTAATCAGCGACAGAAAAAGAGGGAAGGGCTTCAAGTGGAAACAGGGCAGGTTTAGGCTGGACATTAGTAAAAAGATTTTTACAGCAAGTGGTCAGACCCTGGAACAGGCTGCCCAGGGAGGTGGCTGAGTCATGATCCCTGCATGTGTTTAAGGGTCGTTTGGATGTGGTGTTGGTGGAGATGGGTTAGGGGACATCTTTGTAGAGCAGGGATGATGGTTGGACTCGGTGACCCCAAGGGGCTTTTCCAACCTGAATAGTTCTGTGATTCTATGATTCTATGAGAGCTCGAGGAGGTTGCACTGAGTTCCAAGAAGATGAAGCCCAGCCCCCTCCAAACCCTTCCCATGGCCTCACGGAATGTGCCCTTGTCAGGAAATGAATTCTTGGCACATCAGGAACAATAACAGAGGCGAGTTCAGCCTGCTTGGCAGCTTGAGGCAGCGCCCAGCACATATTTCCCCAGCAGTGCCAAACTTTGAAGTACAAAAAATACCAGCACATACACCAGGCTGGAACAGCGTGTCCCTGTGCAAACATCCAGCCTGGCCCTGAGATGGGCTTGGAGGCAGTGCAGGGGCGTCAGTGAGCCCAGTGGGTTGGTCTGAAGAGCCATCAGCAGGGCTGGTTGAGTCAAGAAAGGAATGGAGTGACATGAAGGCTGGAAACGCCCGAGTTACCTCACTCGAGGAGGGCTGGGAGAGGCACAGGGGAGTGGTGTGGGAAAGTACCCCTGGGGGGGCAGCCCTGGCCCCTGGGGAGCAGCCCTGACCCATGGCATACCCCCAAGTCCCTCAGCTGTGAGCCAAGGTTCCCGCCTTGCACCCCATGGCTCCAGTGCTGGGGGGCACCACACTGCTCATGTATGTGGGGGGGCTGCGGAAGAGGCTGCCCAGCAGCTGAGCCCTCAAGGAGGAAGGGCAGGAGTTCCAGACATGTCTCCCCCCACCGGTGCCATCCCTGGGGTGAAGAGGCCATACCTGCCTTCCCCGCCCCAACACAACTGCAGGTGGGCTCAGCGAGCCGAAGCCCTCCCTGTGTCCCATGTGACCCCCACAGCTTCACTTTGAGGGCCTTGCTCAACCCACACGAGTCCCTCAGACACCCCAAATGGTGCTCAACACGTCCTTCCTCCTGCTGGCCCCAGGGTCATTGAGCCTCCCACGGCTGCCAGCCTCATTCTGGTCAGAATTTCATAAGGAGCAGAGGATGAGACCACAAATGCTGCTGAGACCCAGGGTGGCTCCTCCTGGAACCCTCCCAAAATGGGCAGTGGGGTAGCATCACCCCCCACACTCCCTGTCCGGCTCTGGGGGTGGAACAGAAACAACCCTTGTAGGGAATTGCTCCAGCTGCTTCTCATCCTGTGTTGTCACTATGGTCACTATCGTTTCCCCCTCATGGGCAACCATGCCGGCATTTCCTGACCAGCAGGGAGAGATGTCGCTGAGAGCTGTCCTCTCTCCCTTTGTCCCCTCGGGAAAGGGGCAGCCCCTTTCCTCTTTTTTTGTTTGTTTGGTTTGGGGTTTTTTGTGTTTTTTTTAATAAAAAGCAAGCATACCGCCCTAGAAGAGAGGAGATAGGAACATGTAAAAAATTAGATATATTTTTATAGAGATGATTCAGATCTATTTACATCATGGCTGGGACAGACAGCAGAACATCCAAGGAGGGTGCACATTCAGCACCACCCTGACCAGGTCACACAGGGTCCAGAAGGGTGACAGAGACCAAAGCAGTGCCCTGTGGTTAGCAGGCACAGAATCCCACTCCCCCCACTCCACAGGGTTGGCAAGGGAGCCCCTCACTCCTGGTGCCCTGGCAAGCAGGGCTGAGCTGGCTTGCTCCAGCCCAGCTGAAGGAAGATATGACCCTCTGAGGCACCCCTGGCAAATGCTCTTCCTGGGAATCAATACCAGGTTCCTCGCCCCAGCCAGCAGCAGGAAAGCGCAAGGGTGAAAAAGATTCTCAGGAAAGTCTCAACCAAGCAGCCAAGAATACATGAGAGGAAAAGCTGTGCCTGGGCAGTGCCCCCCTGATGCCTCCCTGCCTTGGATTTTCCTAATGGGAAAAAACCAAAAAACACCAAAAAAACCAACAACCCCCCCAAAACAAACAAACAAACAAAACCCCAAAACCACCACAAAAACCCACAAAAAAACCCACCATGCCCACTAAAGCACGTCCTGAAGTGCCACATCTACACTTTTCCTTGATACCTCCAGGGCCAATGATTCCATCACCACCTCTCTGGCCAGTCTTTTCAAGTGCCTACCCAGCGCCACCCCCAGGCTGCAGCCACCTCACCAGCCTGTGGGGTTGCTGGTGGGTTCTCCTTCAGGCTTTTTTATCCCTCCCCCAGGCCTTAAAAGCAAGAAGAAAAAAAAAAAAAAAAAGGGAGAGAAAAAAAACAATCCAAACTTGGTTTGAAACTGTCCACCCAGGTTTTTCTCTATGCTCCTCCCTTCCTAATCTCCACAGTATCTCAAGTGCTTTTGCCCTCCTGGGGTGGTTCTTCCCAGTCCAGCCTCTCCCTCCAGAGATCACATCTGCCTCACCAGCTGCTGCCAGCTCTGGCTTTGCAAGTCCCATAGTCTGGCATCAGGCAGGGGCTGCAGGTGACCAGGGAGGGCCCTGCCTGCTTGGCCACACTCCTGTGTCCCAAATTCTCTGCTGCTGGTGGGATCCAGCTCACTACCTTTTGCTGCCCACTCCACAGCTGAGCAAGGAGCTGTCTCACCCCAGGGCAGACAGCCTCACTGGCCAGAACTGACCAGAGAGAAACTGCCTCCAAGTCCCCTGGGGCAGCTGTGAGCCTTGTGCTGTGCCCAGCACAGCCACACACAGACACAGCTGGACCCTCCTGGCCCACCTACAGCAGCCACTGGACACATCACCCCCTCCTGTGAGGTCAGCTGCTTTGTGCAAGCAGGGGACAGATCCCAGGCAGCTCAGCCCACCAACACAGCCACATCATTTTCTGTCTATCAGCTAATTTCTTCACTTAGCAGCTCTAAAGCACACACCTAACTAAACTCCCACATCACGTATCCCTTTGCCCATTCACATCTTCTTCTGCAGACATCAGATGTCTGAAAAGCATTAACGAGCCACAGCTCTGAGCTTTCCCTTCCTTCCCAGTACCAAGCAATTAGCGACTCCTCCGAGCACTTCCTTCCCAGGGCCACTCGACTGCCCCCACCAGGAGGCCACACTTCGGTGGCCTTGCAGGCAAGGATGATTCCAAACAACGTAGAAGTTAAGGCAGCAAAACCGACGGGCTGAAAGGAACAGCCCAGTCAAATCTGCTTGTGTGTCCCGGGCTACTAACGCCTCTCACTCGCCTGCTCAGTTTTGGTGTGTGTTTGCTGTAAATACTCAAATAACTATGTGTATTCTGGTGATCCTGACCCTATGGTACAGTGAAGATCAATCCATTTAGCCAAAAGAAAAAAAGAAAGTAGGAAAGAAACCCAGCCTGTGAGGCAGGCTACCCTGCCAGCTTGCTGGTTACGAGCGAGGATTTCCTCTGTGGGAGGTCCTGGGGGGTGGGGATGTGGTCTCCTGTCACCAGGTTCTTGTCTGGCCCTGCACTTGGCAACTGCTTGTTCTTCATCTTTGCCTTGGCCATGTTGTAGTCACCAGAATCAAAGTATTTTTGCTGGAAGAAGGAGAGGAGCTTCAGTTACTTTGGTTTGTAGGAGCATGGGGACACGGCAGACACACAAACATCTGGCCACGAATGGAAGATCCTTGAAGGAGCTGCTGGGGTTGCTCAAAACTGAGTCACAATATAATCACATAAGGGGAAAATCCAAGTGAGGGAGTCTGGCTCGATGTAAAAGGCCTTTAGCCCTCATCCCACAACCCCAGTATGACTCAGCCCTGCCCTGGCTGGAAGAAGCTCTGCCCCAGGGGCAGCCACCAGGGCACCTTCCTGCCCTCGGACACACCTCTGAGTGTCTGTAGCTTTCCCTGCTTGGTGTGGTGCTCAGGTGGTTAAGTCCACATTTGTCCTGCTCTGCCCTTGCACCACACTCAGTTCCACAGGGATTCCATCCTGGCCCAGAGACGCCAGCACAGCCACCTCAGCAGCCACCGTCAGGCAGAGGCTCAGCTCTGGTGGCAAAGCCAGGGGTTGTTTGCTGACACAGTTCACTCTGGTTTGGTGAACGGATGAGCCAATGTGATAGAGGCAGGATTTTCTCCCCAGGAAGCACAGCCTGGACAGGGCTGCAGCTTTTGCCAGACTGTCCAGGGTCCCAAAAGCCAAAATTACATAGGGGAAGGGCTGCAAATACATGGCTGGAGGCCCCTCCCTGCCACACAGTGCCACCAACTTGGGGGTCAAAGGGCATTTTGCTCCCGGATCACACACATCACCATGGGCCCCTGAGCTCCTCCCTGGTGCTGCTTCAGCCCTCCCAGTGGGATAGAAAAGGCTGAACCCCACAGCAGAGCTGGTGCTACAGACAAGTAGCTCTGAAGAGTCCAGCTCTGCCCTGATGTGCCTTCAGGCCTGAGGGAGCCCAGTTCTCACAAAAAGCCCTTCTCCATTTCACCTCCAAGCCATGAAAAAACTGTCCTCTCTGTGCTTTCTTTAGGAGCTGGGACCTACAACTGCCAGTAATAGATGTCCTGGGCCTGGAGAAGGATCACAGGTCAGCAGAACACCTGCACTGCAGGAGAAAGTCATCCCAACCAGGGAGGCAGCTACAGTGGGAGCTTAACTGAAATGCTTCCACGTACATGGGGAGCAGCGCAGACACAACCCTGTGTGCCTGCAGGACCACAACATTCTGGGCATCACTGAGATGTGGTGGGATAGCTCCTGCAGCTGAGATGTGGGAATGGAGGAGTATCAGCTCTTCAGGAAGGACAGGAAGGGGTGTTGCACTCTACATCAGTGACCAACTGGAGTGCATGGAGCTCCACTTGAGGGTGGAGGAGAGGACTGAAACCTTATGGGCCAGGGTTAAAGGGAAGAGAGGGGTAGATGTCATAGTGGAGGTCTGCTACAGGCCACTTGAGCAGGAAGACCAAGCAGATGAAGCCTCTACAGGCTGCTCTACAGGAGCAGTTGCTGGAGGAACAACAGCAAGGTGTAAGCAAACCAGGAAGTTCCTGGAATGTGTTCCAAACAATCTCCTTCTCCAAGTGATAGAGGAACCAATGAGAAAAGGTGCGTTGCTGGACCTTGTTCTCACCAACAAAGACAGGCTGGTGGGCAACGTGAAGCTTAAGAGCAGCCTTGGCTGCAGTGATCATGAAACAGTGGAATTCAGGATGGTAACAAGGAGGGTCCAAAGCAATCTCACTACCCTGGACTTCAGGAGAGCAGACTGACCTCTACAAGGATCCGCTTGGTAGGATACCATGGGATAAAGCCCTGGAGGGGAGAGGAGGCCAGGAAAGCTGGTCAGTATTCAAGAATCACCTCCTCCAAGCCTAGAAGCAACACATCCTAACAAAGTGGAAGACAAACAAGGAGACCTCCATGGATGAACAAGGAGCTCTTGGACAAACTTAGATGCAAAAAGAAAGTCTACAGAGCGTAGAAGCAAGGACAGGTATCCTGAGAGGAGTGCAAAGAAGTTGTCCAGGCAGCCAGGAATCAGGTTAGGAAAGCTTAAGTCCAGGTAGAATTAAATCTGGCCAGGGACACAAAGGATAACAAGAAAAGCTTCTACATACATCAGTGATAAAAGGAAGACTAGGGACCTCTCCAGAAAGAAACAAGAACTTGGTCACACAAGATGTGGAGGCTGAGATGCTCAGTGACTTTTTTGCCTCAGTCTTCACTGAGCAAAAGGCAAGACTTCATACCATCCATTACAGGAGACAGAGGACTCTGAGAAGGAAGATCCACCCACTGGAGAAGAGCAGATTTAAGACCAGCTAAAGACCCTGAAGGTGCACAAATCCATGGGACCTAGTGGTGATACAGTTGTGGGGGTCTATTACAGACCTCCTGATCAGGATGAAGGAGTTGATGAGGCTTTCTACAGGCAGCTGAAATCAGCCTTGCAGCTACAGGCCTTGGTCCTCATGGGGGATTTTAACTCACCCAATATCTGCTGGAAGGCCTACACAGCCAGCCATTCACAGTCTAGGAGGTTCCTCCAGTGCATTGATGATAACTTCTTAATGCAAATGGTGGACAAGCTGACTAGAAGAGGAGCTGCTGGATCTTGTATTCACCAACAAGGCGGGTGTGGTTGAAGCAGTGATGATCAATGGCAGCCTTGGCTGAAGTGATCACGAGATGGTGGAGTTCAGGATCCCGTGTGGGAGGAACAGAGTACTTAGCAAGACCAGAACCCTGGAATTCCGCAGGGCCAACTTTGGCCTCCTCAATCAATTGTTAAGGGAAGTCCCATGGGACAGGGTGCTAGATGGTAAAGGGGCTCAAGATAGTTGGTCAACATTCAAGGACCACTTCTTGCAAGCTCAGGATCAGAGCGTCCCAATGGGTAGGAAATCAAGTAGGGGAGCTAGGAGACCAGCATGGTTAAACAAGGAACTACTGGGCAAACTCAAGTGGAAAAAGAGAATCTATGGATCATGGAAGGAGGGGCTGGTCACTTGGGAGGAATATAGGAGAGTTGTCAGAGGATGTAGTGAGGCACCTAGGAAAACTAAGGACTCCTTGGAACTTAACCTTGCATGTCAGGTCAAGAACAATAGAAAGGGCTTTTTCAAACATACAGCAAATAAAAAACACTAGAGGCAATATAGGCCCACTACTGAATGAGGTGGGTGCCCTAGAGATAGAGGATATAAAGAAAGCAGAGGTGCTTCCTTTGCCTCTGTCTTTACTCCTGCAGGCTTTCCCCAGGAGCCCCAGATCCCTATAGCCCCAGAAGAATTCAGGATAGAGGAGTTTGCCTTGGTAGATGAGGATTGGGTTAGGGATCAGTTGAGCAATCTGGACATCCATAAATCGATGGGTCCGGATGGAATGCACCCGTGGGTGCTGAGGGAGCTGGCGGAGGTCATTGCTGGGCCACTCTCCATCATCTTCAGTAAGTCGTGGGCAACAGGAGAGGTGCCTGAGGACTGGAGGACAGCAAATGTCACACCAGTCTGCAAGAAGGGCAAAAAGGAGGACCCGGGTCAGTCTCACCTCCATGCCTGGAAAGGTGATGGAACAACTTGTTCTTGGCACTACCTCTAAGCATATCAAGGACATGGGGGTCATCAAGAGTAGTCAACATGGTTTTACCAAGGGTAAGTCATGTTTGACTAACCTGATAGCCTTCTATGAGGAAATTACTAGGTGGATAGATGATGGTAGAGCGGTAGATGTAGTTTATCTCGATTTCAGTAAAGTGTTTGACACTGACTCCCACAGCATCCTTGTAGATAAGTTGATCAAGTATGGGTTTGGTGATCAGGTAGTGAGGTGGATCAAGAACTGGTTGAAAGGAAGAAATCAGAGTTGTAGTCAATGGGGCAGAATCTGGTTGGAGGTGTGTGACTAGTGGAGTCCCACAGGGGTCGGTACTGGGACCGGTGTTGTTCAACATCTTCATCAACGACCTGGATGAGGGTATAGAATGTACCCTCAGCAAGTTTGCTGATGACACTAAGCTGGGAGGAGTGGCTGACACACCAGAAGGCTGTGCTGCCATTCAGAGAGACTTAGATAGGTTGGAGAATTGGGCGGGGAGAAACATGATGAAATTCAACAAGGGGAAGTGCAGAGTTTTACATTTGGGGAAGAACAACACCATGTCCCAGTACAGGTTGGGGGCTGAACTGCTGGAGAGTAGTGTAGGTGAAAGAGACCTGGGGGTCCTGGTAGACAGGAGGATGACCATGAGCCAGCAATGTGCCCTTGTGGCCAAGAAGGCCAATGGCATCCTGGGATGCATTAGAAAGGGTGTGGTTAGTAGGTCAAGAGAGGTTCTCCTCCCCCTCTATTCTGCATTGGTGAGGCCACATCTGGAGTATTGTGTCCAGTTCTGGGCCCCTCAGTTCAAAAAGGACAGGGAACTGCTCGAAAGAGTCCAGCGCAGAGCTACGAAGATGATTAGGGGAGTGGAACATCTCCCTTATGAGGAAAGGCTGAGGGAGCTGGGTCTGTTGGGCTTGGAGAAGAGGAGACTGAGGGGCGACCTCATCCATGTTTACAAATATGTAAAGGGTGAGTGTCAGGACAATGGAGCCAGGCTTTTTTCAGTGATGACCAGTGATAGGACAAGGGGCAATGGAAGCAAACTGAAGCATAGGAGGTTCCATATGAATATCACGAAGAACTTCTTTACTGTGAGAGTGACAGAGCCCTGGGACAGGCTGCCCAGAGAGGCTGTGGAGTCTCCTTCACTGGAGCCCACTGGTTACGTTCCTGTGTGATGTGCTCTGGGTGATCCTGCTCTGGCAGCAGGGGTTGGACTAGATGATCTTTTGAGGTCCCTTCCAACCCCTACGATTCTGTGATTCTGTGAATTCAGCCACAACTCCTGAAGGAACTGGCAGAAAAAGTTGCAAAGCCTCTGTCCATTGTATTTGAAAAGTCCTGGCAGTCTGGAGAAATCCCCACTGGCTAGAAAAGGGGAAACAAAGCTCCCATTTTCAAGAAGGGAAAAAAGGAAGACCAGAGAACAATAGGCTGGTCAGTCTTACCTCTGTACTTGGCCAGGTCATGGAGCAGATCCTTCTTAAGACTCTACTAAGGCATGTGGAAAAGGTGGAGATGGCTGGTGGCAACCAACATGGCTTCACCAAGGACAAATCCTGCCTGACAAACTTGGTGGCTTTTTACACAGGGGTCATGGCACTGCTGGGCAAGGGGAGAGCAACTGACATCAGCTGCCTGGAGCTGTGCAAAGCTTCTGACACTGTCCTGCACCATATCCTGGTCTCTGAGTTGGAATGATATGGATTCAATGGATGGACCACTCAGTGGATGAGCAACTGGCTGGATGGTCACACACAAAGAGTAGTGGTCAATGGGTCAGTGTCCAAATGGAGACCAGTAACAAGTGGTGCTCCCTAAGGGTCAGTGCTGGGACTGGTGCTGTTTGACATCTTTGTCAGAGACGTGGACAGTGGGACTGATGCACTCCCAGCAAGTTTGGTGATGACACCAAGCTGCGTGGTGTGGTGACATGCTGGAGGGAAAGGAGGATGTCCAGAGGGACCTGGACAGGCTGGAGAGGTGGGCCCATGCCAACATCATCAAGTTCAACAAGGCCAAGTACAGGGTCCTGCACAGGGGGCAATCCCAAACACAAAGCCAGGCTGGATGGGAATGGATGGAGTAGCCAAGAAGGACTTCAACGTGTTTGGGGAGGAGAAGCTCAACATGAGCTGGCACCGTGCACTGGAGCCCAGAAACCCCCCGCGTCCTGGGCTGTCACCAGCAGCGTGACCAGCAGGGCCAGGGAGGGGACTGTCCCCTCTGCTCTGCTCTGGTGAGAACCCCTGCAGGGCTGGGTCCAGCTCTGGGGTCCCCAACACAGGGAGGACATGGAGCTGTTAGAGAGAGTCCAGAGGAGGCCACAGAGATGATGGGAGGGCTGGAGAAGCTCTGCTTTGGAGACAGGCTGGGAGAGTTGGGGTGTTCAGCCTGGAGAAGGCTCCAGGGAGACCTTAGAGCACCTTCCAGTGCCTGAAGGGGCTCCAGGAAAGCTGGGGAGGCACTTTTTATCAAGAGATGTAGAAACAGGACAACAGGTAATGGCTTTAAACTGGGAGAGATTTAGGTTGGACATTTGGAAGAAATTCTTGGCTGTGAGGGTGGCGAGACCCTCACCCAGGTTGCCCAGAGAAGCTGTGGCTGCCCCATCCCTTGAAGTGTTCAAGCCAGGATGGATTGGGCTGGGAGCAACCTGGGCTGGTGGGAGGTGAACCTGTCCATGCAGGGGGTTGGATCTAGATGATCTATCTCTGATGTCCTTCCCAGCCCAAACCAGCCTGTGATTCCATAAAAAACACCAGACTTGGTGATCCCAGCAAGCGAAGGCGCAGAAGGCTGGGCAGGCAGAAGGCACAGCTGCCAGGACAGGCTGACAGGGAAGCAGCAGGACAGCGCTGAACCCTGCACGTGACACGGGGACATGGTGTGCTCAGAGCTGGGGATAGCACATGGCCACCAGCAGCTCAGGAAGGGCCTGTTTCCTACACCAGGCTCCACAGGGACATCCAGCAGTGACAGCCCAAGGAGGCTACAGACAGCTCTGGGAGAGGATTTCATTTCATTGCCAGGGGGGACAGGCAGAGTTGTCTTTTGACAGTAGTGCCAGCACTGGGAGTGCAGCCTCCTGACTCACTACCAACCACAGTGCCCTTTGCACCAGCTACAACTCAGCAAAGTGCAGAGCAGAGGGAAAAACGCAGCCCCCAGCATCTCAGTGACCCCACTGCACCCTGGGGAGCACAGGCAGGGGTATTTATACAGTTGTTTCCCCTCTAGACCCCAAGTTTTGGGCCCAGATTTGGAAGACAGGGTGGAATTCACAGCTGGGAGAGATACACAGAGCAAATGCACCCAAGAGGCAGCAGCTGTTGGGCTCTAAGCAGGCAGAAAGCCTTGCCTGACGACAGCAGCTGTCACTGCCTCAGGCTTGTGGTCCCTGGGTGGCAGGTCCAGCCCAGGCACCAAAAGGAGCCTGGCCCATGGCTTCAACAGACTTGCTGGCCTGAGGAAATTTGGTGAGATACTGCTGGCCTGATTGGGGCTTGGCTGTTTGTGAGGGAGTTGAGGACACAGAGGAGCCACAGCTGAAAAATAAATACCCCTTTCTGCAGTCTCTTCATGAGGAAATCAGAGCCTCCAGGCTTCTGGCCCAGGTTAGGGTATTTGGCCTTGAGTTTTGCCTCTTCTGCTCTCTCGGGGATGATGGTTTCCTTCTCTTGCATGTCCTGAAAGACAAAGAGGAGGGTGGAAAGCCCTTCAGCCCCACAGCAAAACACACACTTGTGATGCTGTAACACACCAATCAGCAGCACACCCGGTGGCTGCCCCGCCAAACACTGAGAGGTCCCCTGGAAAGCCCAGATGTACTCGGAAGAATGTTACAAACAACTTCCCAGCCAGAAAGAGCTTTTGCCTCCATGATCTGCAGAAAGATGCGGAGCCACTCTCCCTCCCACCTGCCCAGCCAGGAGTCCCTACAGGTGCTCACACTGACATTTGGCTTTGCAAATGGGGCATAAAACATCGCTACAAACAGCTGCTGGACAAGGATCTGCCCTGAGCAGCAACAGGGCAGAGCAGCACTGACAAACACCAGCATAGAGCCCAAAGGGTTGCTCAAGAGCTCAGCGTTGCTGCACCACTGCAGGACAGCCAAGATCGTGGGATGGTTTGGGTGGACTTTAAAGATCCTCCAGTCCCAACCCCTGCATGGGCAGGGACACCTCCCCCTAGACCAGGCTGCTCCAAGCCCCATCCAACCTGCCCTTCAACACCTCCAGGGATGGGGCAGCCACAGCTTCTCTGGGCAACCTGGCCAGGGTCTCTTCACACTCACAGCCAAGAATTTCTCCCTCAGATCTCATTTCCATCTCCCCTTTTGCAACTTAAAACTGTTCACCCTCACCCCATCACTCCCTGTCCTTGTACAAAGTCCCTCCCCAGCTTTCCTGGAGCCCCTTCAGGCACTGGAAGATGCTCCAAGGTCTCCCTGGAGCCTTCTCCTCTCCAGGCTCAACACCCCCAACTCTCTCAGCCTGTCTCCAGAGCAGAGCTGCTCCACCCCTTGGATCATCTCCGTGGCCTCCTCTAGACTCACTCCAACAGCTCCATGTCCTTCTTATAGAATTATAGAATCATCCTGGTTGGAAGGGACCTTGAAGATCACCAAGTCCAACCATAACCTCATCAACCCATTCAGGGCTTAAATCATATCCCTGAGCACCACATCTCTATTTCTTTTAAACACTTCCAGGGATGGTGACTCCATCACCTCCCTGGGCAGCCTGTTGCACTGTCCAGCCACTCTTTTTTTAAAGAAATTCTTTATAACATCCACTCTACACCTCCCCTGGAGCAACTTCAGGCCATTTCCTCTGGTCCTGTCATTATTCACTTGAGAGAAGAGCCCAACTCCCACCTCCCTACAACCTCCTTTCAGGTAGTTGTAGAGAGCAATGAGAGCTCTCCCCTTGGCCTCCTCTTCTCCAAACTAAACAATCCCAGTTCCCTCAACCTCTTCTCACAGGACCTGTTCTCCAGACCTTTCACCAGCTTGGTGGCTCTTCTCTGGACACGCTCCAGCAACTCGACATCCTTCTTGTAGTGAGGGGCCCCAGATGTCTTGTGTTCTACAGACACAGGAATATGAGGATGTCCTAGGAAGGGCCCACTCAAAGCCCGGGAATACTTGGGCTGATTGTGGCAGAGGGCACCAGGCCCTGGCTGTTGCCTGGCTCCTCTGCAGGAGCTTTGAGACACCCACAAACCCAGCTACTGAAGAAGCATCAGCTGAGCAAAGATGCCAGAAAGGTGTTCGTAGCACAGGGCCTGGGATTTGCTCCCCAAACTCTCTCCTCAGGGAAGTCTAGCCCCCCACCCAGAGAAGGGCTGCAGGCCTGGGAACAGGAGCTTTGGTCTGGGCTGGGAAGGGGACAGGGTCCCACAGGGCCTCATGAGGCACAGTTCTGGCAGGGCACCAGTCCAGGTCCAAGGGGAACACATCCCTGCTGGCCACCTCTGTCAGGAGCCACCTGGAGACAAGCCACCATGCAAGTGGAAACTCCTGTTTCCCAGCATCTTGGCAAGGGATGTTTTCTGCTGCTGTTCCCTTTCCACTAGTGGACATGGCCCTAGCAGCTCTGCTCCTGCCAGCCCAGCTGCACCAGCTGCAGGATGTCACGTCCATCTTCTCCCTAGTGCCAAGGCCCTGCTCCACTCCCAGGCCAGTGGAGATGACACGTTCCATGCCACAAGCATGGCAGACGCTGCCACCATGAGCCTCTGTCCCACCTGCAAAGTATCAGATGTCCCACCTCTCTCAGCATCAGATGGAACAGGCAAGCTTGCAGTCATGCAAGGTGGAGGTAGCTGGAATGGGAGTCCTGGGCTCCCCAAGGATAAGGCACTGAAGCTTGGCCTGGTGGCTTTCAGGGGTGTGCTCCTGTGCGTTAAACTGCTGGGACTTCCCTGCCCAGGCAGGCAAAAGCAGAGGTGGAGCCCAAGAGCTCCCAGGCTGGAAAGCTTTGATGTTACTACAAGAGGTTTCCAAGGTGATTCTCCACTGCTGCTGAGCTGGGGGAGCAGCTCCTCGAAGCACAGGGGCACCCCTGGGGGCAGTTCCCTGCAGAGGTGCATGTCAAGGCTGCCATGGAATGGCTCCTTGGCTGCATCTCTAAGAGGCAAAGCAAACAGAAGCTCCAGTCGTAACTGGGAGGACTAGAGATAAAGCTGTAGCAGGGTGTGCAGGTTGGGCACATCCCACACGGAGCTCCACCCCTGCAGTCTCCTCCTCACATCCCCATTCATGAGGGTTCCCAAGGGATCAAAGCAGGGAGAGAAGGTGGGGGAAGGTGCTGAGTTTCATCACGACCTTCAGCTCCTGGATCCTGCAGGGCTTGTCGTACACACAGTCTGAAGGAGCCTGGCTCTTCTTACCTGTCTCCATGACAGCTCCAGGAACAGGAGTCACCGCCCATCAGCCCTGCCACAGAGCCAGGCTCCCCACGAGCCTGAGCATCAGAAGGGTCACGGGGAGTTCAGCAGCAGGTGCCAAAGTTTTACCTGATGGATGGGTCCTGCAGCCCTTCCATCATCTCAGCCTGCTCTCCTCAGTCCATCTCCAAGTCTCCTTCTGCAAATGCCACCAGCTCCCGTCCCCCTGTGCCGCTGCTACCTGCTGCTCACCCACCTCCCGGGCACTTCTGCTGCGGCAGCCGGTAGAGCCGGCGCCCGAAACACCTGCCAGCGATCCCGGGGCCGCCCGCGGCCCATCGTGCCTCCCATCTCGTTCTCCTACTACAGAAGAGACCTGCCACCTTCTCTCGGTGCCTTCTTGCTGAAGCCATCCTCCAGAGCCCTACGACCATCAGGGACGTGGATAAAGGTTCGCCCGCTGCGGCGTCTGAGCAGGGGGGGCTGAAGGCGGCAGCGGCTCTGTGCCCGTCAGCGGGTCCCAC